TGTGTGCCCAAGATCCCAAGAAGAGAATGGAGAAGGGATTGTGGCATAGCCATTACCCCAGGTGGGGGGGATGATTTTTTGCTTTCTGTCCCTATGTCTCTCTCTGTCTCTCCAGAGAGTACATGCGCCCTATAGCAAAAAATCTCTAAAAAAAAAAAAAAAAAAAAAAGAAAAGAAAACTGAACTGCAATGCTAGAAGCCACATGACTGACTGTGGGTTCAGATTCCCTGATCAACCTGAAAACATGCTGAAGGGCATTTGTGTGTGTGCCCAAGATCCTGACCATCCGAACAGCTGGACTAAGGGATTCATGGCATAATGGAACCCTGTCGAGGTGCTTCTCTCTCTCTCTGTCTCATGCATATGCTCTCTAACATGAATAAAATTTTTTTAAAAAATTGGGGAATAAAAGAAACATTAAAAAAAAAAATGGAGGCCAGACTGTGGCCTGGTGATTAAGTGGCTAGATCCTACATGACTGTGTGGTTCAAGTCCCAGACCTGGCAGCTTGAAAAACACACTGGGTGTGTGTGCATGTCCTCAAAATCCTGAAAGGAGGGAGAGATGGTGGAGAAGAGATTGTGGCATGACAGTACCCCGTGGAGGGGGCTTTCTCACTTTCCATCTCTCTCTTTCTTTCTGACTGCCTCTCTCTGGTGAGCGCACAAGCCCTCTGGCAAATAAAAAAAGAAAAGAAAAGAAAAGGAAGAAAAGAAAAGGAAATGAAAGAGGGAAAATAGAATGTTTGTTTATTACTTTGGGGTAAAAATGACTCTTTAAATAAGACACATAAACAGTGAGACTGATAAATTCGAGATTGTCTTGTGTCAAGTTCTTTTAAGTATCGTATTAAATATATTTTAAGTACATTATTAAGAGACAACTCTGGAACAGTATGATGATTATACCCATTAGGTGGGGTAAAGGGGCTTAGGGTAAATTGTATGAGGTACATCCAGCATATTTTCAGGTTGACCTGAGAATCTGAACCCATGGTCTGTCATGTGGCTTCTAGCATTGCAGTTCAGTTTTCTTTTCTTTCTTTTTTTTTTTTTTTTTTTTTAGAGATTTTTTGCTATAGGGCGCATGTACTCTCTGGAGAGACAGAGAGAGACATAGGGACAGAAAGCAAAAAATCATCCCCCCCACCTGGGGTAATGGCTATGCCACAATCCCTTCTCCATTCTCTTCTTGGGATCTTGGGCACACACGTGCCTGGTGTGTTTTAAGCCATTGGGTCCAGGATTTGAACCTCAGTCAACTACATGGGAAGTTCAGTGATGTAACCATTATACCATCTGCTGGCCCAGTGCAATTCAGTTTTCTATACTCAGCTTGTTAAATTAAAAACCAAAACAAAACAAAAAAAATCAAACCTATTGAGCATTTGAATGGACTGTTCTGGAAAACGAACTTGGAGGAAAAGCGATGTGTTTACAATATTGTCTCCCCTTCCTGGGAAACTTTTTTCTTCCTGAATTCTATTTCTCCCTTCTCAGGCACCCTAGGTAGATTTAAGAGTCCCCTTTCATCAAAGATTGGACCACAACTGCCATAAACCATGGATTAAGGCTCTTATTACCCTACTTCCCGTTGAAGAAGGAAGAGGCTGGAGACCAACTGCCAAATGAGAAGAGTTGAAAAGGAGCTGAACAACCAGCTTTGGGGAGACAGGCTATTCAAGGAGGTGACCTTGGAGACGCAGTGGAGTTTGCCAAGACAAGCCCCTGGGCCTCCTAGACTCTCCTCCACTGATTCTGAAAACAGGCAGTTTTGCAGGAACAGCTAGAAAGTTCCAGAAATCACAGGTCCTTGGGGCTGAAGTCTGATTTTAACTCCTTTTTGCGCCACTGTAGAGATGAAGAAAGGGAGGTCAGGAGGTCAGAGACCAGCCTAGATAGGTCTGGTCTCCCCTTTTCTCCAAAGTTGAGTTTGAGTTCGCAGGAAGATCGAATGCCATCTGAAGATGAGGGAGAATGTACAACAGTCCCCATATCCTCAGACCCTCCTTCCCAGGGATGCCTGAAATCATAGACGGTCCCAAACCCTGTACATACTCTGCTTGATCTGATAACTCAGACGGCTGGACAAATGATGACCTGTGACCTGAGCAGGATGGACCTGGAAACATGACACTTCTTCACACTACTCAGAACAGTACACAATTTGGGACCAGCAGATGGCATAATGGTTACCTCACTGGACTCCCATGTAGTTAACCCTGGTTCGAGTCCCAGACCCGGTGGCTTAAACTCACGCCGGGCACATGTGCGTGCATGCCCAAGATCCTGAGAGGAGAATGGAGGAGAAGGGATTGTAGCATGACCAACCGCCCTGAGGGGGAATTTCTTGTTTTCTGTCTCTCTGTCTCTATGGCGAGCACACACACCCTATAGCAAAAATCTCTCTTAAAAAAAAGAAAGTACACAATTTAAAGTGTGAATTACTTGGGCCAGCCAGGTAGTATGGTGGTTAAGGCAGCTGGATCCTACATAGGCCACTAGGTGGTTCAAGTCCCAGACCTAGTGACTTGAAAAACACTCTGGGCATGTGTGTGTGTGTGTGTGTGTGTGTGTGTGTGTGTCCAAAATCCCAAGGGAAGAATGGTCAAGGGATTGTGACATGGCCATCCCCTCCTGGGGGGTGATTTTTCACTTTCTCTTTCTCTCTGTCTTTCTCCAGTGAGCACACACACCCTAGAGCAAAACTGCAAACAAAACTATGAATTGTTTCTTTGGGGATTTTCCAGGTAATGTTTTCGGGCCACAGTTGATTGCAGTTAACTGAAGCAGTGGAAAAAGAAACAATGGATTGGGGAGGGGGTCCATCTCAGCCCCGCATAGACCAATGGCCAGGTCTCAGGATTCTACTCTGAACCGTCCCCACCTTCCACATCCTTCTCCCCTTAAGAAGAGACCAGTCAGCTCATGCTGTTCATGGCATTTATTGTCACTTGCCCGCCACCAGCAGGGTTAGGAGATGCCCAGCGGTGCCCCACTGTGGCCAGAGGTGGCACGGGGCCATGCCGCACTATTTACACTCACTCCACGCAGAGGGGCACGTCCTCATTGGGAGCAGCTGCACTTCTCAGCCTCAGCCTCCGTCCCCTCTCCACCTTTGCACACGCAGTCCTTGGCGCACTTCTCGCACTCTGCGGGGCAGCAGGAGCAGCAGCCTGCAGACAGAACAGGAGGTGCCTGGTCTGATGGCCTCCCCCCATGTATGGAGGTGGGGGAGGGAGGAGGGAGGGCAATGGGTGCTGGGTGGCTGGGAGGCTTGTTTTTCAGCCAGAGCCGGCTGCTGCCCCCTCCCACTGTAGCACCTTGGTCTCACCCAGCATCTGGGCATGGCAGTTACAAGAGAGAGGTACCCAGTAACTCGCCTAGAGCCCCTTTAATGAGTGCCAGGGAGGCCCCAGAAATAGTGGGTTTAGGTCCAAGCTGGGGGAGTGCGAGGCTGTAAGGAGAAAGTATCACAGGACAAATGGCTTTGAAAGGGGCCTGGAGGGATAAAATTGGAGGAGCAGAGAGGGAGAAGATGCTGGGGTCCAGGGAAGCCACTGGGAGATGGGTTCCTAGCCTCGCACGTAAGAGAGCCTTTCCTCCATTTCCCTCCACCCCCACCCCAGCTCCCTTGCATATTACACTTCCGTGGGCCACCGAGACTGTAGAGAGGTCAAATCGAGGGGATTCACACAGTCTGAGAGGTGCCAAGGGACCAGAACTCCAGAGCCAACCTCCAGCCTCACTAACGGCTTCCTGGGGGCTGGAGGTTTTGAGGGGTGGGGCTGGGGCACAGGGGTTGGGTCAGGGTAGCAGTTCTCAATCTCAACTGCTCACTGGGATCTTCTGGGATAAATAGAATCAGTTCGCCCCCTGCCCACTATAGCCATCTCTGTGGGTGGAACATGGGCATTTGTATTTTAAATTTGCCAAGTGTTCTGTCTTGGTGAGAGTCAGAGCCATGGAATAGGAGGGCCTAAGCGTCCCTCTGTACTTTGAGTGGCCAGATGGTGACTCCGGGAAGCGGAGGAGGTGGTGGCGGGTGCCCCCCTACTCACTCTTCTTGCAGGAGGTGCATTTGCATCCCTCGCACTTGCAGGAGTCCGTGCAGGTGCAAGAACCACCTAGAGCAGGAGATGCCACAGGGAAGGTTAAGGTTAACGTGGTAAAACTCCTAAAACCGGGTAGGGTGCCCAATCTGCGGGTCTCTTTGAGACTTAGGCATGCCCATTCTTTACAAGGTTAAACGTGAGCAATAAGGAGCCCCTCCCCCAAGTGTCCTTGAACGCAGGCATAGGAAGTGGGGTTCTTTGCAAATAAAGGGCCACTTTCTGCTGCAGGGAGGTTGCGGGAGCTCACCAGAAGGGCAGGGGCAGGTCTCAGGGTCCATGTCGCGGCGAGCGGCCACTGGAGGCGGCGAATTGGTTTCTCGAGGCAACTGGACGCACTGCTTGGCTCGCAGCAGCAGGTGGCGAGGCTTTTATAGCCTCAGGCGGGGGGGCGGCCGCAAAGCCCCCCG